ACGTGTAATATATTCGTAGTTTCATTATTACGCTTTGAACTCAAAATATACAACTATACAAATATTATGATAATTAAATAATTATATTGATAGATGTTTGAAAAGTTTTGTTAACTATGCTGTTTTTATATTCCAATAGCTATTAATTTACTGTAATGTAAAAGTAGATTGTAAATTGGTAAAATAGCTGTAAAAAATAATAATTGTTTATAGCAGTTATTTATCTTATTTATCTGTACAACGAAAAAAAAAAGATAATGATTATTTTTGTTAAACCCTCCCCAGAGCAAGATCGAATGTACGCCACTACCAGGACCCTTAATCCGACACTGCGAGTAATTCAGTTTTATTTTATGTCATTTTATTTTTTTGAAGAGAGTGAGTATATTATTTACTAGCTATAATTACTATAGTAGCTATAATAACTACGTACATTCTCGAGGTAGTGTTTTGTGTATAGACACCGTGCAACAAATGAAAAACCTTGCGCTCTGATGGTGAACGAACGCACTTCTTGTGTATAACAATGTTATCAATATAATTCAACAAAATATTAAAATTCAAAGTTTGATTAGTATGTACCACGACTAAAATCATTATTATTAATTGTGATGTTTGACGATTTATTGACAATAATGATAATATCTGAATACTGACAACATTTAATGCAATTATTAGTTATTATGTTAAATTGTATTATTAATAAGGAAATATATTAAATTAATAATATATTTATTTACCCGAGGGATGGTTGTTGAATTAAAGCAAACAATTTTTATCATTGTAAACATTTTCTATATGGGAATAAATAATTGTATTATATGATAATCGTACGGTGATGCGTAAACGATGTACGAAATTTTGGCACAGGTAAACAGACGATGCGCAAATGATTTACGGCCCGTATGTACGTCGAACGATAAGTTTATATTTGAATGTTGATAGTCCGACCGCAACAACTGGTTTTTTTTTTAGAATATTAATTGATGTTTAATTCACGTGGCATGAACCTACAGAATTTAACAGTTTGAGAGTGGTATGTTCAGCCTTAAGACGGTTGGAAGCAGCGTATTTATTTCATGTTGTAGACCTAAAAGCTTGATAAGATTATGCATATTTAAAATCATCATAATTAAATTCTGTAAAAAGATTTGAGTGGATCAACCATTTTTCTAGGTTAATGTGGAAATCGATTTTTGATATTTGTTTAAAAATTTTCTTTAAATCTTATTTGAGTTTCTCAATTTTTTTTTAATTTTTAAATTCACTTTAGTGTTTTTTTTAAAAATGTTAAACAGTGATTCTAAAATTGACTTCCACAATAACCTAGGAAAAAGGTTGATCAACTCAAATCTTTTTACAGAATTGAAATCCAATCATTTGGAGTTGACGTTTTTTGTCAGGCTTGATTAATTTTCAGAATTTCTTCGTTGGAACAAAATATTTTATTTCATCAAATGCAATGACTTGTGCATGCACGTGCGAACCATTAACTGTTTCCCTGAAACGTTAAATACCGGTGTGCAACGCCAGCCGCCTGCGAACCGATGATATTATATAGATATATAGTCTATATTATTATAGCTTACTAGCTGCCCCGACAAATGTTGTTTTGTCATTAACAATTTTTCTAGAGAATATTTTGCTAGAAAAAAGTAACTAATTTAATATAAGCATGTAAGGATGTGGGTAAGGATAAGGATGTAAAGAAGAGGTATGGAGTGCTATGAACGGTGACGAAATATAAAAATGAAAAAACATCAAACATTAATTTTTATAATAATTTATTAAAATTGATCCATTAAAATTAAATATATCGCTAATTATGACTATATAGTAAAAACAATATCTATCCATTAATAAAACAGAGTGTACAATATTTTTTGTTGTCCCATTTTTTGCCAACACAAACTGGATGGTTCGAGAGCACGCCACGTATAATTGTCCGTGTGAAATATGATGTGCTCAAATGTAAGCCACAGGCAGACATCGTTTGACCTTGAGACTTATTGATAGTCATTGCAAATACCAATCTAATTGGAAATTGGAGGCGTTTAAATTGTATTGACACATCTGTGGGTATAAAAGGGATTCGCGGTAATAATATATTTTCACCAAATAATTTACTATTTAAAATGATGGCTTCAATAACATTTTTCATTAATTTTTTAACGACTTATCGCGTGCCGTTGTACAACCGTGGGAGGTCAAATTACGAAACAAAATAACCGGAGATCAAGCCTTCAATTGTAAATTATGCGTTGGCATGCCTGGTAAATCCAATGAGTTTAAAAACTCTGTTGGATAATTTACAGCTTCAGTAGCATCGCAAACTGTATCTTTAGATTTGTATGACACCAAGTCTACTGGTAACAAATGTTGTATTTTGAGATTCAATTCGTTGACGTCCACATTTTTTGTTACTAAAATTGCTCTTTTTGCCAGCCACTCATGATTTGTGTATTGTCTGTGTACATTGGGAAATATCTGGTCAATAAGAGTATCTTGCGAATAAATGATTGTGCAGAAATCGGTCGGTAATTTTATACACCCCGTTTCATCTGTAGTAACTTTTTTATCTCCAATATCTAACAATTGTTTTGAGAATCTTCTGCACGCAGCTTTTTTTAATCGAATCGCAAGTATCGAAATCGTTCGCTCTCTATCTTTACATACATTTCGACCATGAATTGTTAACAAAGCTCATGACATCGTAAAATAACTTTGTCCTGATCGCGTCTAATCATCAACCGATATGCATAATAATTTTTCGAACTAAAATTCTTATTTGTTTTGGCACCTGTTGCAGGATCTTTTTGTTTAATGTTTATGCAATACCCAACATTTACTACCAAAAATAAAATTAATAGTTTTTTAAATAGTTTTTAATAGTTTTTTAATAGTTTTATTTAATAATTCATTTTCAAGTGTGCAGTTATCTACCGGGTCAAAAATCATTAAATTAAACTATGATTTACCAAACAATAGCACTTTTCCACATTTTTTTTTGTCATAAAAACCTTCTCCTGGTAATTACGAACAGTTAAAAAAAAAATTGAGCCAAATCAGCCCAGCCGTTCTCAATTGATGAAATATTATACATTTTTGGCTTCATTTTTATATATATATAGATATAGTCTTATTGTAAATTCAAATAAATTGTATTACCTATATTTATAATTTGGTATATTTACTGTAATAAGATTTCACACATACTATACGATTATGCCGCAGTAACCTATGGATTGAGTCGATACTCAGTACTTACTATTTGTAGGAGCCACATCTAACGTTTAGTTTAGTTTCAGGCGTTTCAGTGCATTGTTACTCGATTTTATATGGATTCATTACTTCCATAAATAATCGATTCTAGGTTTGATCGAGGATTACCAATAAGGCCAAGTATTCCCGAAAAAAAACGTTTAACACTACAATAGTTGTAGTATGATAATTATTATTATAGTTATTGTGATGAATTGTATAAATATAATTACCATAAAACTTACGAATTTATTTGTTATTATTATAGCACCTTTAGCTTTTTATTTTATTTCTAATACATCTTGAATTAATTAATAATTATATGTTATGAATATTCGTTCTAAAACTTTTTTTTTTATAAAATTTGGCAATCGGTGATTCTCACACTCGAATTGCAAATGCGTTATACTTATTAATTATTATGAATTGATAAATATTAATGATAATATTGAATAATATTACATGTCTTGCGGCGTATAAACGATGACGATAATGACTAATGACAGTCCGTTTGCTGATAAGATCGGAGCGTATTATTTCGGGAAAGTCACACACACACTAATAATCGTTTACTAACGCACACATTTACAAGGCATAACATCACGCGTATAAGGTATCATCTATATTCAACCTCTTAAAAAAGGTTCGCTTCCAATCCCCTTAACGTGTTATGAATTATCTATTATCTACTATCTAGTATCTGTACACGAAATATGTTCTCCGGCCGTCTAAGCACAGTAGCGCGATACACTAAAACTTGGACCGTAGACCATCCAAAGCGCTTGCATCGATCTGCACGGTGTTACTCTTTGTCTTGTAACGAGACAGCATAGTCTCGTGCATATGTCGCGTTTGTGCGTCTCTCCCTGACGGAGTACTAACGATTTACGAAATTTATATTATCGATTAATCTGTTGAGAGTCAATAGAGCGCGCACACAGTAAACAATCCGTCAGTGCGGTCGGATTGTTTATTATACTTATAAGATTATCAAGATAGCGTGGCGGTCGTCGTCGTTTGTGACCCGCACGTTATTCCTATTTTACTGTATGGTATTCACGGACAACATTGGTAATTGTACATAGAACATTCTTGTATATAAAATCAACGAAATGAACCAAAAATCAACTTCCCCCCGGTAACTGATCGTACTGGCCACAGGATATACGAATACGTTGTTATACGTAACCCGTATTATACGTTTAATCTAGTGCACATGCAATCAGACTATAGTCCATTCAAAATAAGAAACGTAGTCGGCAGCCGATTTCTGCGCATGGGCGTGGCCTCACTACGCACTCCTGCCTTCGACACCGTTGCCAGCGAGAGCGCCGCATTATTCTACTGTTAACCACACGTTTGATGAATTTTTTTTACTCAACATTTTAAACAATTGTATTTTATCAATAGTTTATAATCAATAGCTTATGACTGTGGAATACTCGAATATTAGAATGATAATTAAGACTAACTATAGTCGTGGCAACGAAAAATGAGCGCTGACCGTCATGCGCCAAGCGGCAGTTTATTAGTAGTGATTATCAATCTTTGAAACAAAAAGCCCGCTTTTTTTTTAAAAAAGATCAAATAACTTATATAGGTACTATTTTTTTTTAAATTATAGGATTTTTTTTTTATTGTTTATCAATTTATTTTACATTTTATCATACAAACAATTAAAAATATTTACAACGGAAAAAATAATAAAAGACAAGTATATTATAGTAAAATAACAATTTTTAAATAAGTGTTTGAACGTCATCTGCACTGTCCTCGTCATTGCCAAAATCACTGTCGTCAGTTTGAAAAGTTATAATGACCGGCTCTAATACACTGTCTATTAGTATCTCCTTCTGATAATCTTCATCCTGGATTGTCTCAGCATGTTTGACGCATTTTTCCCAGTCACTCTTGGATACCAAATCCAATGCCTCGTGAGTGAGTCTTTCGACGTCGACCATTTTAAACGTTGAATTTTTTTTTGCCACTTCGCCTTTTACTTGAGCCCATATAAGTTCAATGGGGTTATACTGACAATGGTATGGTGGCAGTCGTACTACTTCATGGCCCATTGAACTTGCTATTTCATCTAGCTCGTACTTTTTAAATGTCGGTTTTAACAAATTCACACGTTCGCGTAGTTCGGCTAAAGTTTCCAAAGGTAAAAAATTAATATTTTGATTTTTCAGCCATTCCTGCACCTCAGCTTTTCGAGCATTACATTTTGGATAATTGTTTACCAACATAGAATGATATGGTGCATTATCCATAACGATTACGCATGGTTCAGGAAGTAGTTTTAGCATATCTACAAACCATTGTTTAAACACATCTGAATTCATAGACGAATGGTAGTCAGTAGAATTTCTAGCTCGGCATTTAAAAACAAATTTCGATCCCTCAATGAACCCGAAACGCGATGATCCAGCGTGAGTAATTATTAGGCAACCTCCTTTGCCGGTTGGTATTTTAAATCCCTTAGTTTCTTCATTATTCTGCCAAATATGAGACCTTGAATGATTTTGGTTTACCCAGGTTTCATCTAGGTAAACCACAGGTCGAGTATCTTCATTCTGTCTGAGTGTACACATTGTACGTAAAAATTTACATAATAAAGCGGCTATATCGTTTCGCTCCACAAGCATTTTGCGGCCATTATTGCATTTCTTAAACGTAAATTTTAAATTTTTTAACAAATTTCTGACCGACCGGACGCATCCTTCATAATGTGGTAATTTTTTTTTAATTTCGCTTAAAATTGAAAAAGCAGTCGGATATTCATTTCTTTCATAAAATTTGTGTACGATCCGTCGGACTACATCAGCATCGAAATCGTCCAGCTCGGAGCATTTCTTTGCACGTTTGTACAATTTACGAGGTGATTGAAATTGCACTTCTTCATCACTATCCATTGAAGATTTATTTGCCTCCATACATATACGCTGCACAGTTATATACGAAGTACCACAAGCCTGAGCAGCAATTTTTTGTGCGCTTTTAAAAAAATCTGAATTCAAATCTTTTTTTTCCGAACACATTTTAATAAAATTGTAAACACTAAAAATGATTTTCTTACTCTGACTATGAGTATCACGATCTTTAAACGACATTTTTAAGTTTTAAAACAAACGTACTACGATATTCAATGACTATTACACGGCGCGCACGAAATACGTGTTTACAACAACAAGGTGTGTAAACGATAGACCACGAAAAAAATGTACTATATAAGGTGGCTAGTATAATATAAATCCCCCTCCTAAAAATATCCCAACAAAAGAGAGTCTGGAATGTTATAGTTTGAATTCCTGCTGCCTGAGGGACACGATCTGTAACTTGACGGTTACAATTGTTACCACTCACTTTTCAAATACAATACAGTAGGTACAGCGCGTAGCAGCACGACAGCTGCACTATGTTGAGAATCATTGGCCGTAAGAGTGGGTAAAAACAACGGGTCGCGGTACCAACGCTCATTTTTTGTTGCCGCGACTATAGTAACTGAATTTCGGGTATTAAATATATTTTATATTTGTAGTGTGTATGTATGTGTCATTATCGGTATTTTTGTTTTAACTAGTTTAAAATAGAAGTATGACTACAATGTCTCAGAATTATCGAATTATCAGTTCCTAATTTTAGTCGAATAGTAGTTATTAGTCGACTAATTTCATTTATTCATATTAGTTGGTGGTAAACATTATAGTCGAATAATTAGTCGACTAATTTCATTTATTTTTGTTAGTTAGTCTTAAACATTTTAGTCGAATAATTAGTCGGTTGTACGTGATGAAAAGTATCAAGTAGTCGTTCCTGCCCATCATTAGTCCGGACTGTACCATAATAGATAAGATAATCTCTTTTCTATACTACCATCCCAGTATGTTATAGCCTGATAATTTTTATACAGTTTATTTTGTTAAAAAATGCCTTTTTAGAAACTATATAAAAATATGGCACAAAACATTTCACAATGTAAGAAAAAATAACTAGTTAAATGAAAATAATAAAATATTTTTCAACAATTAATAATATTCATTATTCAAGCTATTAATTCTTATTATCTATCTAAATAAATACACAAATTTTATTTTTAAAACATAATTAACAGTAAAATTAGAATCGTATAGACTTATAGAGATAATTTAAAGATTAAAATGACAACAAATATTTTATTTGGTAAATAATTGAGTTATAGTTAAGACTCAAGAGTTAAGGAACTTTCTTAACATTATAGTAATAAATAATCATATGCTTAGGAAAACAATTAAAATATAATTTTAAAACTTAACAGTAGGTGTGCCTACACCTCAGTCTTTAAAACTTGAATATTATTAGATAAAAAAATTATAAATATTCACATGCAAAAAATTGTTAATAAAAAGAAAACAATATACTTTATTAAAAAAGTAAAAATTTAAAAACTGATGCACTTAGTTATGGTTCAGACTTTTTTTAGTTTTCTCTTATGTCACTATTTCCTTCATATTTCAGAAATAAATGAATTTGTTTTAATAAATTTTCATTAGTAGATAATAATACATGAAACTCAGCACAATTTTCTTTGAAAACAATTTTTACAGTAAACATAGCTTTAATTGTCGCCACGATTTTTTTGATCAGTTCATATACAATTCATTTGAGAAAAAACTCTTTTTACTAATACATTAGTTCCAGGTATACAAAGAAAAAACTCAACAATCTTTTTTAGATTTTTTAAATCAATATTAGCACATTCAAAATTGACTTTGAAAATTTCTACCCAAATTTCTTCCAAAGATTTATTTTCTATAGTTACATTATTTAAATTACTAATAATAAAAAAAATAATAAATAAAAAATACAAAATACATTAAATAATTGCTGCACAAACAGTATCCATTAGACCTGATACACTATATAACAATATTTATTTAATATTTAATAATGTTTAATAGTATTAAATGAAATAAAATGTGAAATATAATATAATATATAATATATATATGGTAATATATTATATTATATAATATAATATAATAATTAATTTCCCACAGTAGCGTGAATAACAATACTTTATATATGGCCGCAATGGCACACGACAATATATGTAATAATAATAATAATAATAATATTAATAATAATAATAATATGAAAAGAAATAATAATTTATTGCCACAATAGATAGAACAATGATAGAATAAAAAAAAAAAAAAATAATAAAAAAATTGAACAAAATAATTGTTCACGCAAACACGGTCATAATGTAATGACCGGGTTGCAGTTGGTAGCACCGTATAGACAATTATGTTCGATCAGCCGAACGACCATTAGGGGCGGTTGGCAATATTTAAAAATGTCGTTGTGACGCTGTGCATCGACGAAAAACCGCCGCCGTTGTGTTGTTCTTTCTCTCGCCTTCATTACGAACGTTGTCATTTTTGGTGTGCGTTGGTTGTTTTTCTTCACGGAGTTGTCGTGCGTTGGTGGGTCTACGTAGTTGACGTACCTTTGTTCCACGTATGTTGACGAGGATGTAAGATCTATTCTTACAACGGAAGTTGTCGTCCAAACCGTCGTTCTGGTCGTCATCGTTTTCGGCCACGTTGTTCGCGAAATCGCCGTTTGCGGTACGCCATCGCCGTTTGCGAGTCGTCGTCGTTTCGGCCACGTTGTTTGCGGGTAGACGTTGCCATCCGTAATAGCAAGTTGTGCGCACGCGATTCCGCCGTTTGCGGTACACCATCACCGTTTGCGAGTCGCCGTCGTTTTGGCCACGTTGTTTGCGGGTAAACGCCGTCATACGTGATAGCAAGTTGTGCGCACGCGATTCCTCCGTTTGCGGTACGCCATCGCCGTTTGCGAGTCGCCGTCGTTTCGGCCAAGTTGTGTACCCGCGAATCCGCCGTTGGCGATTCACCGTCTTTATATCGACATTGTCGGGTTTTTTTATATTATTTCCTTTATATATATATTGACGGAATATGTTTTAATTTATTATATTGTTCCCACGTGGTTTGTTTCTTGTTTTGTTGATATTTATAGAAATATACTTATGTTATTATTATTTTTATGTAAATACCAGATTTAGCCTTATTCAATCTCCAGACACTCTAGTCACAGGGGCCAACTGCCGAGTAAAGAGCTTGTGTGGCGAACATTTTGGTAGCAGAGCGTGGTTGTTGTTTGTTGTTGATGCTAGAGATTATTAAGGTTAGTATTTTATTCCTTGTGTATGAAGTATTATTTCCCTTAACATAGTTGGGTCATTAACGTTGACATTTCATTTTAGCAATTGACGGTTGGTTTCGTTGTTATTTTAATATAGTTGTATTATTTTTTTTTTATTTATTACTGTTATTTCAGTACTACAGTTATTACTGAAACTTGTACAATTGTGTACAATTCCATATAATTTAGCCGGTTTGGATTAATATTATATTTTGTTATTATATTTTTATTTGTGTATTTAAAATCAATCTAGTTTTAATTATATTGCTGATTAATGCAATAACTTTATTATAATATGGTCAGTTGAGATATACTTAAGAATCTACTTATTTAATTATTTATCAAGGTAAAAATAATCTATATTATAAATCACAATGGCAACGTTGTGTGTGAAATTGGCGTATATGGGCTATAAATCAGTAGGTAGTAGCTCATTGGCGCAACTAGGGGGGGGTGCTTTGGGTCCTTAGCACCCACTAAGTCAAAATCAGCACCCTCTAAAAAAATCGTTTAAAAATGTAATAAAAAAGTTGAATATTAATCGAATTACAATTATAACATAATAGTAATTTTTGTAATATAACATTTTGTTATTTATAATGTTGAATTGGATGTGCTGATTTTAATTTAGTAAAGATAAGGATGCCGGAGCGGTCAATTTATTTTAAATAGTCTGTGCTAAATATATCTATATGGTATATTAGTGCCTAAAATACTAATATAATCTGGTATTCCCGAGGGACGGAAATAGTCTCGTCATTATGATATCTGGCATACGGGTGATACGCCGATATACCACAACAAACACAGCACAATCTACTAGGATACTAAGATTTATAATAAATCGTCTTAGGTTACAGTGTTTGTAGGTAACTCAAAACACTACATTTACGTATTACGTATGTTGTATTAGAGACATTTCTAAGTTTCTTATATTATTATTTATGATTGCTAATAATAATATATCGATCGATATATTAAAAAAATCTGGAGCTTAAGCACCCCCTAGTTCAAATGTCTAGTTGCGCCAATGTAGTAGCTTATCTTTCGGGCGCATCTGTTTATATCCCTGGGGGCGCAAATATACTACTCTGAGGCGTAAATAGGCTACAGCCTTAATTTTAGTCTAAAAAAAATTTTGTGGAAAATGGATGGTGGGGGAAAGCGATATCTTATTTTTGGAGGCAAACGGACCCGCCTAAAATATAAAATGGTGGGGTTTATAGGTATTTGACCTTGAATGCCTTAAATACCCCTGTTTGAGTCTAAATGTAGTGTCTATATTATGTTTTATTTTTATGTTGTATTAATTCATTTGTTTGTCATTTTCGTGCGATGCGTAGCGGTGCGTTGCTTATCCGAGGCCCTCGTCGGCGGCGGCGATAAGCCTCCGTGTGCGACCGGCCGGTTACGCAATCGCGCTGTTATCATCGCATGAAAGTGTCGTTATTTCCACGTTTTCAAAGGTTTTCGGTTATGTTTTTGTAAAAGTAAAAGTCATGTTCTCAGTGCCACAAAGTTTCATAAGTTCTCGTGTTTTTTGGTTTAGTGTGGTGGCACTGAGACATTTATCTTCATTTTGTGGTGTCCGGTGGCCCTAGCCTTCGTGGAAAATGTCGCCGGCACCGTTTCTCTCTCTGCTCGTGTCCGCCGTAGTGTTAATACCCGTTTGTCGTTTGTTCCTGTTTGCAGCCAATTTGTTATACCACGTTTTTGTCTTGTCAGTTTTGTTGTGAATCAGTCATTGGTAACTATCGCGCATAATATTTGCCCATCATTAATTTGTTTTGTCCCTCTAGGGTGTTCAATTTGTTACCATTGACTGCATTTTTTAGTGATTTAACGTGGTATATTGTGTTGTATGGTCCGGTTACAGCAGAGCCGTGTGTTATTTGTTCGTCGTGGTGCAGTTAGCGTTGTGTTGTAGTGTGCGGAATCACTTGTATTTTTTATTGTATTAATTTTATTATTAATTACGGATTCCGGCATTGTAGCACATCATAACTGCACGAGGTAGGTGGTGCACCATCATTTTTTATATTATTTGAAGACCGACGGGTCTATCACATTGTATTTATTTATTCATTTATTAT